CGTCCAGTCGGAGCACGAAGTCCGCCATCGTGCAGGGTCAGCGGCACAGCTCCACAGGAACACAGCGACAGCCCCCTCCAGCACGGCGGCCGCGAAGCGCCTCAGCACGGGCGAGCAGAGGAGACGGAGCCCGAGGCGGCACGACAGGACGAGCCGGGGCGAAGGGGTCAGGCAGGTGCGGTGGGGCCAGGCAGGTGCTGGCGAGGCCAGGAAGGCACGGCGGGGCCAGGCAGGCGCGGCGGGGCCAGGCAGGCGCGGCGGGGCCAGGCAGGCGCGGCAGGGCCAGGCAGGCGCGGCGGGGCCAGGCAGGCGCGGCGGGGCCAGGGAGGCGCGGCGGTGGCCAGGAAGGCGCGGCAGGGCCAGGCAGGTGCGGCGGGGCCAGGCAGGCGCGACGGGGCCAGGCAGGCGCGACGGGGCCAGGCAGGGCGCGACGGGGCCAGGCAGGCGCGGCGGGGCCAGGCAGGCGCGGCAGGGCCAAGGAGGCGCGGCGGGGCCAGGCAGGTGTGACGGGGCCAGGCAGGGCGCGACGGGGCTAGGCAGGGCGCGACGGGGCCAGGCGGGCGCGACGGAGCCAGGCAGGGCGCGACGGGGCCAAGCGGCGGGGCCAGGCAGGTGCGGCGGGGCCAGGCAGGCGCGACGGGGCCAGGCAGGCGCGACGGGGCCAGGCAGGGCACGACGTGGCTAGGCAGGGCGCGACGGGGCCAGGCGGGCGCGACGGAGCCAGGCAGGGCGCGACGGGGCCAAGCGGGCGCGACGGGGCCAGGCAGGGCGCGACTGGGCTAGGCAGGGCGCGACGGGGCCAGGCGGGCGCGACGGGGCCAGGCGGGGCGCGACGGGGCCGAGCGGGCGCGACGGTGCCAGGCAGGGCGCGACGGGGCTAGGCAGGGCGCGACGGGGCCAGGCGGGCGCGACGGAGCCAGGCAGGGCGCGACGGGGCCGAGCGGGCGCGACGGGGTCAGGCAGGGCGCGACGGGGCCAGGCAGGGCGCGACGGGGCTAGGGTGGCGCGACGGGGCTAGGGTGGCGCGACGGGGCCCAGGAGGGGCGCGACGGGGCTAGGAGGCGCGACGGGGCCCAGGAGGGGCGCGACGGGGCTAGGGTGGCGCGACGGGGCTAGGGTGGCGCGACGTGGCCCAGGAGGGGGGGGGGGGGGGGCGACGTGGCTAGGAGGCGCGACGGAGCTAGGAGGCGCGACGTGGCCTAGCTAGGGTACGGGCGGAAGCGGTAGGTGGGGGATGCTAACCTACGCGTGATACCATGTCAAAGTGAGAACGAATAATGACTAGAGGTGGAAACCTAGAACAAATACTAGTTGGTTGTACTCACTAGAAGTATACCTCAGTCTAGCCTATAACTTCTACATAGATAATATGTATAAGTTGACACCCTAGTCTATATATCCTTGTACACACACATTCTAGTTCAATCATTTTCTTTCTGATAATTTTCTTCTGCCACCCAGTTTCAGGGAAATAAATTAGTGCGAGCTAGGTGTATTTCCGTAGGATTCACACGTGCGAATTTTGTGTGGCCCACAAGCTGCCAGATGTGACGAAGATTTTGACGAAATTAGCGAGAGTTGACAGGTTAGAGAATTTCGTCCTTCATAATCCAATCACATCGCGGAGGGGCTTTCATTTGCAAAAACATAGGAAAATCCTAGACCATGGTTTTAATCTAGTAATTTGATGCCATTCGTGTATGATGTATCTAAAAGGACTGCTTTCCATAATCCTTAATCCAAATTGAAGGGTGTGAATCCATACAATGTATCACGTAAAATGGTTTGCATTCTTCAACAGTTCTGTAGAACATGACCCAATGACGGTAGAAAGCATCCAACTCGAATTGAGAGGAAGTGGGGGAGATTAAAACCATAGGCTAAAATAGCAAGGGGGGGGCTTCAAGAGCGCCGTTCTTGAAAGTGGGCACACTTGAAAAAAGCTGGGGTGCTAGTGCGACACTGCCATAAGATTTTTTGGGCAGATGTGCAGATTTGAACCACAATATTACGCACCTACTTTGGGTTGGGCGATATGGAAACGCGTGCGACGAGGCGGAGAAGCCATGCGCGACAGACCAAATTTCCCGCCAAAATGGCAAGGCAGGAATTCGATAGTGTCCGGGGCGTGTTTAGGTCGGATCGGGTCCCGGGTCAAGTTACGGGAATGGGCAACCTCTGACGAAACATGCATAGAGAGGGGTTTATTTGCGTCAGTATGTGTGAAGTGAGAAAGGGGTTCTGATCAGGTTGACGCCAAAAGGGCTTGTGGAACCTCGATACTCATTTGTAAAATATAAGTGGTGTGTAACTCATACCCTGGAAAACAATATGAATGTTATATAAATTTATCAATATTACAATGGACTAGTATGCAAAATGCATTTTATACCGTTGTGGCTTCCTTAGAGAGAAAGTCGACGATTTATTGCAAAATTATGCCATGTAAAGTTGTGACAAGCGCGTACAATATCACTGCCTTCGCCATTCGCAGAGCTTGAAATGGCAGCACGGGCAACATTCCCGGCACCAGTGGCAGCAGATAGTAATGCAGCATTGGCGGCAGTGCTGGCATAGCCTCTGGCTTCAGCTGCCGTTGCCAAGCCATCCATTTGTGTCTCCGTGCCTGTCCTCCACTTCACTGCCCACTTGCACTCTCTGGCCGCTCCAGATACTACCCTCCCCATGTGCGCCCCTGGTCCCTTTCCCCCCCTCCCACTCTTGCACCTCTCCATTCTTCAGCCTGTGGCCCCACCCTAGAGTGCCCTTCTCTGCTTCTGAAATGCTGTCTGAAAGCACTGCAGCTGCTGCCACAGTAGGGGCAGGAGGAACGCCAGGTGCCGTGGTTGCAGCAGCGGAGAAGGTCAGCTGTTGAGCCGAGTCCAGAGGGGAGAGAGACACATGCGCTGGGCGGGGGGGGGGGAAGCGGGGCGTGGAGAAGGGGAGTGGTGTGCAGGTTCAGGGGTGTATGGAGGGTGGGCGGGGGGAGGGGAGGCGGCAGGGGAGAGAGACGTGATGACAGGGGGAGGAGGGACAGCATCAGCAGTGGTTACTGCAAGGAGAAGGGAAAGGGATTCCAGGCAGGTGGGGGGACGGCACGCTGCTGCCTGTTATTTTGGCGCTGTTGCTGGTGCTGTGTCTGCTGGATTTTCCTCACATGCCTCCCACTTGTTGCCGCTGAGAGAAGGGATCGCATGGCCAGTGTCGGGAAATCCCTCCTCCCTGGCCAGATAGAAGGGATAATATGGGTGGGGCTTGGGATGGAGAGATGGGGTAATAGAATGGTGAAGGAAAGGGTGACGGCTGGAGAGGTGGAGGGGGAATTGAGAGGGGGTGGTAGGGAATCCAGAGACGGGGAAGGGGTCAGGTCGGGCAGATACCAAACCGTACCCCCTCTCCCTGCGGGTATCTCCCAACCTACTTATTCCCCAGCCGCCCTCTCTCTTATTCTGTTCCCCTATTCCCTTTATTCTTCCGCCCCTCTTCCCTTCATTCTTCCCCCCCTCTTCTCCTCATTCTTCCCCCCATCTTCCCTTCGTTCTTCCCCCCTTCTTCACTTCATTCTTCCCCCCCTCTTCCCTTCATTCTTCCCCCCCTCTTCCCTTTATTCTTCCCCCCCTCTTCCCTTCATTCTTCCCCACCTCTTCCTTTCATTCCTCCCCCCCTCTTCTCCTCATTCTTCCCCCCCTCTTCCCTTCGTTCTTCCCTACCTTTTCTCCTCATTCTTCCCCCTCTCTTCCCTTCATTCTTCCCCCCCTCTTCCCTTCACTCCGCCAACCATTTTTCCTCTTTCCGCTAAACTCTTCCCTCCATTCCGCGTACCTATTTTCCCCATTCCGCCCCCATTCCACCTACCTCTTTCTCTCGTTCCGAGGTGAGTCATACAGTCGACGGTGTTGAGTGATACTTGACGTGAAGTGATAGACGATGAGAGGTAAGGAGTTGAGATAGGGGGCGGTCAGGGGGAAAACGCCAGGGCTATACAATGGACGTGGCGCCGTGGGGTTCCTCGCGCGACGGATGAGGATTGGAGGACGAGGCGTGGCGGACTAGACGCGACGTAATAGGCATACAGGACTAGGCGCAAGGGACTAGATGTGAGGGACTAGAGGCGAGGGACCAAAGGTGAGGGAAGTGACGAGAGGGACTAGACGCGGAGGACTTGGCAACGTACCACATGAAGCAAACGGAAGATCGTGGTTTTTTTAGCAGATCGGGACTAGGGGATGTCGCACTGGATCACGTGCGGCTAATGGCGGGATCTAAGGTATTTATCCCGCGCTACGACGATGGAATACTCGTCATATCCGACAATCAAAACTCGTTTCCAAAGCTCAAGACGCCACCACTACACCTGTGATCAATTTTTTCCACAGCAAAAACTTTATGGCAGTGCCTTGGGCAGTTACTGACTCGTTGCGTCTGCTGTACATTTCTAAATACCTCCCTGGTGTCAAGTGTGGCTGTCTAAGATACTCTAGGTATGGGAATAATCTACGTCTGAAAACCGGTTGCACACCCATGGAGCTCTTGAACGACGAGGTGTGGGGGTGTGGTCGCATGGAGGTTAGTTTCAGTTGACTCGTGCGACTCTAGGGTTCGTCGCACCCTGTTCAAACAAAATTGTGCCCTCGCAAGGAGTGCCGAGGTCCACTTGCAGTGTTTCACATTGTCGCAACATGTTTCTTTTCGCGTAGAGGGGAGATTAGTGTTCCACAACGGGCCGTTTATTCTGACCGCAAAAAATCACAGTTTTCAAGAGCGCCCAAGGTGTGCTATTTTAGCCTGTGGTTTTAACCAGCACACAAGTCGTTTTGCGGTTTTCTGAAGCCTGGTGGCTACATAGATTCTGGTTATATGGCGGAAGTTCGAACAGTAATACACGACATTGAAATTCATCTGCATCTGAACCGAACAGTAACCTTCCAGCACCGGACAGCACTGTTTGATCCAAAGTCAAGAACCTGACATTTTCCATCTGTGCTGTGTTGGTCAGCCACTCACCACCGTGATTTCCGTTCATCACAGCTCTAGGCGAACGACGTTGTGTCATGAACGACCGCTTGAACGACCGCTTGAACGACCGCTTGAACGACCGCTTGAACGACCGTGCACATCCAAGGCGCCGCGTTCTGAATCCTCGGTCCAGTACTCGCCGTGCAATCCATCCCTGCTCTCGTCCCGCTGCCGCCATGCTCCCCTCATCCCTGCTACGAATCCTTTTCCTTACCGTCCTGACGTCATCAGTGCCACGTGTCCACTCCTGGTGGGCCGTTCCTCACATGGTACGGCCATTTTTCCTATACACGGCATATCTTCCATCGTTTCCCACATCCCTCCCTCGCTTCTTATGCGCACACACTCACACACTCGCACACTCGCACCCACACACACTACACACACACACACACACACACACACACTCGCACACTCACACACACTCGCACCCTCGCACCCACACACACCGCACGCACACACACACTCGCACCCACACGCACCCCCCCCCCCACACATACACACACACACACACAACGCACCCACACACACCACACACACACACTCACTCACAGACTCCCCCTCCCCCACGCACACCTCCTGACGCAGCTCAGCTCTCTCCCCCTCCCCGCTCCACATCCCTGTGCTGGCGCTGCATGCCGTGCGACCGCTGTCCCCGCAGGTGGTGGCGGAGATGGCATGGCTGCACATGAGCCAGCCCGCCAGAGACACCGCCACGCAGGCACGTGTGGCATAGCCTGGCTGAACGTGGCACGTGTGATGCATGGGTGCACGGGTTTGTGTGGATGCATGGGTTTGTGTGGATGCATGGGTTTGTGTGGATGCATGGGTTTGTGTGGATGCATAGGTTATGTGGCTGACTGGTTTTCAGCAAACGCTGACCCATATCTGCGCTTATTCATTCCCACTGGTCCCACCATGTGCCATCAACCGCACTACGCTGCTTTGATTCAAATTACCTTTTTCTCTTGAGAACTCTCCCTCCTGACCCCCCTAGCAACACCCCACTCTCCCTCCGCCTCCGCTCCTCTCTGCCACTCCGCTCACCCCTCCTTCCCATCTACTGGCAGGCTCTCAGTCCGCTCACCCCCTTCTACCCCTCCCTCTCGTCCTTCCATGCATCCTCCGTGTGAGTGTGTGCAAATCTTTCACTGCATCTCACCATTCTGTCGCTTACATGTCACATGGTCAGACAATAACTTGTTTCCATGGATTTTCTTCCTATGTCATGGCACTGCCTGCACTACCCAGCGCTGCTGTGCTCGTGCTTGCAGTTTGCCTTACCATCACTCTGCTGTTTGCTTCTTGTTTTTTTATCATTCTATGCCATGCCACGCGACGCTATGCTGAGTGGTGCACTGTGGTATGCGTGCGTGCTGCAGATGGTTGGATGTGATCAACACCACTCTCATGCCTGCCTTTCAACCTTGGTATCTAGCCAAACCTCCACACCTTCTGCACGCCAGTCACCTGCACACCAGTCACCTGCACACCATTCACCTGCACACCATTCACCTGCACACCATTCACCTGCACACCATTCACCTGCACACCATTCACCTGCACACCATTCACGTGCACACCATTCACCTGCACACCATTCACCTGCACACCATTCACCTGCACACCATTCACCTGCACACCAGTCACCTGCACACCAGTCACCTGCACATCATTCACCTGCACACCATGCCTGCATCGCATGCGTCAAGCATCCCTCACATCGTTTATCCCACTCGTTGCTCCCCCTGCACGCGTGTCATGTTCATCCATCCCACCCCACTCCTGCACTCCTCGTCACTGCTTCTCCCTCCTCACCAACCCTTCTCTCCCTTCCACTCCTATGCCATCCCGTGCCATGCCATCCCGTCCATGCCATGCCATCCCGTTCCATGCCAACCCATGCCATCTCATGCCACCATCCCATGCCATGCCTCCCGGTGCAGGCACTACTCGCTCTCTGCTGTGCCGTCCCCCTCGCCTGGCGTCTCCCCACCACCCCAACCAGCACGGAATGCACCAGGTATGCCTCGCACACCACCCTACCCCACGTGCACCACATGCTAAACCTTCCTTCTCCCTGCCTCTCTCCATACTACTCCCCCCCTCCCGCCCCACACACACTCCTGCCTTTGTCTCCATTCTCCAGTCTTATTCAAGCTCCCCATCCCCCCTTCCTTTGTCTTCCATGCACGCTCCTTTGCTTCTCCGATGCTCTTCCGTTCATCCCTCCCTCCCTCCCTCCCTCCCTCCCTCCCACCCCCTCACACCCCCCTGCCGCGCCCTGCAGCCCCGTCCTCCCTGCTACAAGTGCTCTCCAGTGCGATCGCCGCGCTGCAAGGGGGGCACACGGATGTGTGCGTTGGGTGGCGTCGGGTGGGGTGGGGTGGGGTGGGGGTGAAGGAGAGTGTGGATGAAAGAGGGGAGTGGACGAAGCGAGGGGATTTACGTGAGGAATATGTGAAGGGTAGGTGGTGCTGGGGAAACACACAAGTGGTGGGAATACCGGGGAAGTGCGGGAGGCTTCTTGGTTGAAGTGGTTGGGGTGTGCAGGTGTGGGAAGGGTGCGTTTGAGCGGGGTAGAAAGGGATTGAGGGCTGTAGAAGGGGGATGGGGAAGGGTAACGGGAGGAGGAAAGAATTGCAGCTATTTCCTCAGGTTCCTTCTGTCATCTTCTGATGGGCATTGCCAGTCCACTCGTCTCTCCTGCTAACCCCACCCCTAACACCTCTCCCCACTGCGTCCCCGTGGCCTATCCTCTGCTCCTCGTCTGCCCCCCCCTTCTTGTGCACTCAGCTTCGGCCGGGCCTTTGTGCTGCGAGTGCTGCTCAACCTGCTGGCTGACCTACACCAAGTAACGTGGCAGTCAGTCCGTGGTGATGTGGCAGACCGTAGTGATGTGGCTTGCACCAGTTGGCGTGGCTTGTCTTGTCTTTTCTTCTTCTCCCTGCCCAGTGACCCCTCTTCCCATCTTCCCCTCCTCACTTTCTGGCTCTCTCCCTCTCTCCCTCACTTCCTTAATCGTCACCTCTTCAGGCTGCACGTCTCTCCTCTAACCCTCTTCCCCCTCCTTTCCTCTCACCCTTTCTCCCCCATCGCCCCCTCTCTCCCCACACCCCAGCCCCTGCACTGTGCGGACAGGCAGCGTGTGGGCGAGGGGGAGGCGGCATGGGAGGGCATGGGGGGGGGCATGAGCGGCATGGGAGGCACGGCGCGGCAGGTGTCAGTGGAGCAGTACGCAGTGGAGGCAGCAGACACGCTCTTTGACTTCTGGTCAGACAGACTTCATGCCTCTCTCTAAAGCTCGCTCTCACCTGTAACCTGTCCATGGGTGTGCGTGTGCCCCCTCATTCCTCTTCATCCTCCGCTTCCCGCTCTGTCTGTTTGCTATGTGCCATTGCCTTGTGCATTTTGTCAGCAGCATTGACAAGCACAAAGGGAACTCTTTCTTGCAGTGTGCTTTGCGCATTTCCGCCTGTGCCCAACCTTTGGGCTGTTATCCCACTCTGCTTCCCATATTCAAGAACCAGGCTCTCTCTCTCTCCCCTCTCTCCCCTCTCTCCTCTCTCTCCTCTCTTTCGAGTATTTCTTTCACTAGGTGTGAAGGTTGCTACGGTACACTATGTTATCCTGTAATATTCGGAAAAACGGGGTGCATGGGACTTGGGCAGCGAGGCCTCAGTACTCGCTCGCTCTCTCTCCCACTCTCCACTCCTGCCTTTGCCCACCTCGTCCCCTCAACCAACCCCAATCCCCCCCGCCCTTTTTGTTCCCCTGGGCGGCAGGGAGGCAGCAGGGGGGGCGTTTGAGGAGGTGGCAGGGGGGGTGCGGGGCGACCCAGCGCGGCCGGGAGCAGCGTTTGAGGCGGACAAGCAGGATGTGAGGGCTGCTGCGCTCGCCCTCGCCGCACAGTTCCCCCTCTCTGCGTTCACGCCGCAGGAGGTGAGGCATGTAGGGGGTGCCGTGCAGTGCAGGGGGTGCCGCGCAGGGGGGTTAGGGCAGGGGTGCAGTGCGGTGCGAGGAAGTGCTTCTGTGCTCGATGCACGGCTGTGTCTGTGATGCCTCGGGACTTGATGGCTTCTTGTTTCCCACAACCCCTTCACACCCGCCCACATGCCATCCTCCCCTAGTGTATTCTCCCCTTACTGCAACCTTCGTAGGAAAGCAGCCTTCCCCTGTTGCAACGTTCCCCTACTGCAACCTCCCAGAGGATCAACCTCCCCCTATTGCAACCTCCCCCACGGCAACTTCCTCCCCGGTGCCAACAGGTGCAGGAGGTGGATTTGGCAGCGTGGGCAGCAGGCAGCGGCAGCATCACAGCATCCGTCGTGTACTCTGGACCCCTGCAGCCAGCTGCCGCTGCACCGCCATCGCCGCATGGGGCGGTTGACCCCATACTGCTCACACACGACTACAACCTCCACGTGCAGGTCGCTCCCTCTCTTGCTCTCTCTCTCTCCTCGCATCTAACACCCTCCACACCTCTCACACACCCTCCTACATGCTTTGTAGCACACTCTTCTCTATCACTTCGACCATCCCGTCCCGTCGCCATCCCATCCCATCCTGTCCCCATGCCATCCCGTTCCAGGCCCTTTCCTTGCTAGTCCGGTGCTTCTTCCAGCCGAACTTCCCTGCCCTCCGCCCCTCCCCACAACCCCACCGTCCCCGCCTCGCCCCCGGCCGTGTGGCCATCAGGAAGTGGCCAAGTCCCAGCTGGCTCTGGCAGCGTACCGGCTAGCGGCGCTGCTCAATGCAACCTTCCCGCTGCCACCTGCTGAGGATCCTGACACCTACTCCCCATGCATATCGCTGCAGGAAGCTGGTAGGTCATGCACTCACTTGGGTTGTGCACTCACTTGGGTTGTGCACTCACTTCGGTCGTGCACTCACTTGGGTTGTGCACTCACTTGGGTTGTGCACTCACTTGGGTTGTGCACTCACTTGGGTTGTGCACTCACTTGGGTTGTGCACTCACTTGGGTTGTGCACTCACTTGGGTCGTGCACTCACTTGGATCGTGCACTCACTTGGGTTGTGCACTCACTTGGGTCGTGCACTCACTTGGGTTGTGCACTCACTTGGGTTGTGCACTCACTTGGGTTGTGCACTCACTTGGGTTGTGCACTCACTTGGGTCGTGCACTCACTTGGGTTGTGCACTCACTTGGGTCGTGCAATCACTTGGGTTGTGCACTCACTTGGGTCGTGCACTCACTTGGGTCGTGCACTCACTTGGGTCGTGCACTCACTTGGGTCGTGCACTCACTTGGGTCGTGCACTCACTTCCTTTTTGCTCACTTTCTCTCCCTTCCGCCCTGCGCTTCCCCTCTCTCCCCTGTCCCTCTCTCGTTACCCACTCCATCCTCCTCACACCTGTCCACCCTCTCAGAAACACAGTCGCTAACGACTGTGCTAAAAGGGCTTGTTAAGTAGCGGGTCAGCACGCCCATAGCCCCCCAGGCATAGCAGCCTGTGGCCCTTCTGAGATCTTCTAGGGCGACCCCAGTGGGTCTCTTGACACACCCCTCCCTCACCCCCCTTTCCTCCCCACCCACCCCTCCCGCACCCCCCCTTTACCACCATGCAGCGGAGCGGGGGGCGCGGGCGGCCCCTCTGCTGGCGACAGCACTGGGCATGACAGTGGCAGTGGCGCTGGCGCTGGTGGTGATGCTGTACCGGGAGCGGGAGAGCATGCAGCGCCAACTGCTGTTGCTGCAGCAGGCACAGATTGACCCCCACAGCCCCTCGGACGGACTGCTGGCCAGGCAGGGCTTGTGACGGGGGAGGGATGATTAACTTCTATCTTGATGCGGAGTGGATGTGAGCTGAGAGTGGTGTGATGTGAGTTGAGTTGAGAGCGGTGTGATGTGAGCTGAGAGCGGTGTGATGTGAGCTGAGAGCGGTGTGATGAGATGATGCTGGGTTTGCTTGTTGTGATGAGGATGTCGATGTCAAGTTTGTTTGACGCACGGACATTGCATTGGGAGGCGGTGCTGTGGTGCAGACAAGTTTGGAGCTGGAAGTGATCTGTTTGCATGTAGTTATGCTAGTGGCTGTTCACTATAGTATTATGTCTAAGTGCATGCTTTTGTAACAACTTTAGTCTGTCTACACCTGAGCATTGGTTAATGCATTATGTGCACCTAGTGCCAGTAGCTGCTTACTGAATATCTGCTATAGGACAACTCTAGTATTGACAAAAAGCAAACCTCATACTGCACAGCTTTTTGTGCCCTTCAGGAGCAGAAGGGCTGGGCACTGAACAGGACTCATTTCTAACTACCCAAACTTGTGACATGCTGGGGCATGGGGGAGCTACTGGAGCCAGGTGCCAGGTGCCAGGTGTCAGCCAGGTGGGGAGAAATCAGGTTCAACAGGGCGAGCTAAGCAGCAGCTGTAGCAGTAGCGGGGGCAGCGGCAGCGGCAGGGGCGGCAGGGGCGGTAGGGGCGAGTGTGCGACGCTTGTAGCGCACCATAATCGGCCCCTTGGGCCCGACGACGAGGGAGTCCCAGTCCACCGGGGGGAAGGGCGTTATCAGCTCGAGCTCAAAGTTGCGCAGCAGCACACTCCACACCGTCTTGCCCTGGGGGGGAGAGGATAGGAAGGATGACAGGTGGAGAAGGGGGGTTGGGAGGGTGGGGGGAGACAGTGTGCATGAGGTAGGAGACTGGGAAGCGCTGGTGGTGCGACAGAAGCCTGGAAGGTACTTCCTTCAGGGTGGACCAAGTTAGCATCGTTGAGAACACATACCATGGCAAGTGGGGCAAGTGCCACACACCAGCACCACAATACCCTACCTCGCAACATCCCTCACTCCTACCCCTCCCTTTCCCCCTCCTCCTCACCTGCATGTATGCGAAATTCTCTCCCATGCACCCATGCCGCCCGCCCCCGAAGGCGGTGAAGGAGAACGGCATGGCGCGGTCCTCCTCCCGCCCCGCCGCAAAGCGGTCGGGGTCAAACTCGTCCGGCTTGCTGTAAATGTACCCCAGCCTGCCGGGTTGGGAGTGACAAGACACGGGGAGGGGGGACGAGGACGAGAGAGCAGAGGTCAGAGAGAGTCAACACATGCAGTGCAGCGAACGGGTCAGGTCAAACTTGTCCGGTTGGCTGTAGATGTATGTACCCCAGCCTGGTGGCGCCATGGAGTTGTGGGGACAGGGATGGGGAGGAAATAAACACCGGGTGAGTGCAGTGCGGTGTGGTGAGGGAGAGTCAAGAAATGCTGTGGATGCTGTGGAGCACATGTAGCAGAAATGCAACCAGGAGGAACAGAAAAGCCAGCCGTCACTCTGACACCAACCATACTGAGCAGGCAAGCCCCAACCAGCCAGGCACGCCCCAGCGCTGCCCGCTTCAACCGCACTCACCCATCATTCCTCCCCGCCCACCCCACCCACTCCACTCCCTCTTCCTCTCTCGCACCTGTTGCTGAAGGAGGGCGCAGCAGCAACGACGGTGCCCTTTGACACGGAGTATGTATTGCACTCACGCCCTGTGACGGTGAATGGCTGCTGCGCGTGACACTGCATCCCGCCGAGCCACGAAGGCCATGCTTTCTTACTCGTTCAACAACCCCCCCCCCCCCCACACCCAATCTTCCTCCTTACACCTCACCCACCCCCCATTCCACCCCCTACCCCCCTCCCATTTCCGCACCTGTTGCTGAATGCGGGCGCAGCAGCGACAACAGAGCCCTTGGGCACGGTGTATGTCTTGCCCTCGTGGCCGGTGACGGTGAAGGGCTGCTGCGCGTACCGCAGCAGCATGACGAGCGGCGGGTGCAGGCGCAGCACCTCCTTCATCACGCGGTGCAGGCAGTCCATCTCGCTCAGCACGTCGTAGTTGAGTGCGTCCGCGTGCCGCGACATCACCGCCTGCTGCTCTGCGAGGACAGCAGGGAGAATGTCCGAGCGGCGACTGAGAGGGTGGGGAGAGAGGGGATGGGAGCAGTGGGTGCGGAGGGAGGGGTGGCAGGGGTGGGAGTGGTTGAAGCATGGAAGCATGGAGCGGCGGGTGCAGGCGCAGCACCCCCTTCATCACGCGGTGTGGCTCCTTCATGATGCGGTAGTCCATCTCGCTCAGCACGTCGTAGTTGAGCGTGTCCGCGTGCCGTGACATCACCGCCTGCTGATCCGCCAGCACGGCCGGGAGGATGTCCGCACAGCGACTGAGGAAGGGGGGGAAGGGGGGGGGGGGGGTTGGAGAGGGTGGATGGGTGGGAAGGGTTTTGATGGGTGGAGCACAACAGCTCTCGAACAAGTTCAAAGAGCAGGAAAGAATGCAGCCAACACAAACCAGAAAGTGGCTACATAGGCAGCAGCAGCAGCAGGAACAGAAGGGGAGCAGCAGGAACAGTTGTGAGTATCAAAGGAAGGGCGGGCATTGGTGTCCGCTAGGGGGGCGCGATAGAGGCAGTGAGGGGATAGAGATACCCAGCAGCTTTTGCAACGCATCATAGATCCCTCTCTCGAGCTTCCTCCCCCCTACTCCCTCTTCCCCTCCGCCCCTCCCCCTCTTCTTCCCACCTCCCTTCCCCCGTCCTCCCCCTCTCCCCACAGCCGTACGCACGTGAGGAGGTAGGCGCCGACCCAGGTGGCGGTGAGCGAGGAGGTGTGCTGGCCGCCGAAGAGCGCGGCGATGAGCATGCCCGCGCACTCCTCCTCCGTCGTGCTGCGGTTCAGCAGCTTGTACCGGCTGTCGATGAACACCTGGGCCAGGGGGGAAGGTGGGGAGGGGAGAGAGGGAACGCCTTTGAGTCTACTCACACGCATGAGCATGCCCGCGCACGTCCCTCTTCTGTTGTGCTGCGGTTCAGCAGCTTTTAGCGGCTGTCGATGAACACCTGGGGGGGGGGGGGAGGGAAAGGGGAAGCTTTTGAGCCAGCTCGAAAGCATGAGTCAGCCCGCACAGCTGAAGAAGGGGGAAGGGGGGAAGTGATTTTTGAGTCGACTCAAAAATCACCTCGTAGTGGGGAACGGGAAGGGGAGGGAGAACGCGGGGGGAGGTGAGCCAGGGGAGAAGATAGCAAGAGAGAGAGAGAGGGACGAGAGGGGTGGAGGGGGGAAGCGAGGGTGTGAGGGGGATGGGAAGGGAAGGGGAAGGTTGAGGAGGGGAGGAGAGAGCGTGGGGGAAGGGCAGTGGAAGCGGATACGACAGAGGACGCGGGGAGAAGGGAGAGAGGGGAAGGGAGCCGCGGGAAAGGGGGAAGGTGTGGGAGGGAAGGGGAAGGAGGAGACGAGAAGGTTGATAAACAACCGTGTGGTCGTAATCCCTATCTACAGCGTTGTCCAGATGCACTGCACCTGAGGCCCTTGCGGCCGTGCCTTGCACCACCACCAGCAGCACATGACTGCGCGCCAGCCCGTCCTCCCCTACAAATCCCTCAACTCTCACCCCTCCTCCCTCTTCATCCCTCGCTCTCTCCAAAATCTCCCTGTCTCGTTTCCTCCCTCTCTTCCCTTCCGCGCCCCTACCCCATTCACCTCCCTCGTCCTTCGGCCTGGTCGGTATCGTGCGTGAGACAGTAAGTGCATTAAGACCAACCAAGTCCTAACTCTGCATCGCCTACGCAACCCCACGCCTCACAACCACCCCCCCGCCCACATCACCCCAGTCTCACACCTCGATCTCTCCCCTCTCCCCCCCCCAGCCTCACAACCCTCCCCCGCCCACTCACACCCCCCCGCGCCTAACCTGCAGCATGTCGTTCTCCACGCGCCCGGACTCCTTCCGCGCGCGCACGATGCGCCCGAAGATGCCCGCCAGCTCCTTGCGCGCCTCGTCGCGCCGCTTGTGCGCGGGGATGGGCAGGTAAGGGAAAAGGACGCTGCGCGTGGGGGGGAAGAGCGGGCGGGGGAAAGGGCGGGGAAAGGCGGAGGAGGGGGGGGGGAAGGGCGGGGGGAAGGGGAGTGGGTCGAGGGGACGATGAGTAGTGAGGGGTTGGGCATGAATTCTGACGGGGCGCGGAGGGGCAGAATAGGAGGCGGACAGTACTGTAGTGGAAACAACGTGAGGCAGAGCAGGGGGCAGGGTTTATCTAGGGCGGCACCGAGTCCAGGTGCACGCGCGGTGGTGCGACGGCGCATCGCGCGAAGGGGGGCGTGACGGGCGATAGGGGGCGCGCGTGAAGCGCGCGGGCAACGATGGTCGGGCGACGACTGACGAGGAGCGACGACAGCGGACGACTGACGGGCGCGTGGACAAGGCAAGGCGACGACGACGACGACGACGACACGAGGCGACGCTCCACGAGGCACTGAAGCACGGGGCCGGCAGCGAGGCTCATTGCGGTGGAAGGCGGTGCGGCAGTCGAGAGGGGTGCATTGCTCTTGAGAGAGGACTCAAATGCAGCTCCCAGGCGGACAGCGTGAGAAGCAAGGGCGGCAGCCAAAGCAACCAGAGCAGCACACGCAAGCGCCATCTTTCAAAACGCAAACAGGGGCATTTTGAACCGTTGTCCATACTAGTTCGTTCGTACAATGCGTCGGCGGCGCCCCGATTGCACAGCACAAGACGTCTGGCCTTGCTTCCGCTCTACTTTTCATGACCTTGTGCCCAATTAGTTGGTGCGTGTTGCTTCGTCGTCATACACAGACCTGCGCGCCCCGAAGACGAGCATCCTTGGCAGCTGTGTCTCGCCTGATGGGCGGCATGCGCTACTAATGGGCGGCACGCGCTACTAATGGGCAGCACGCGCTACTAATGGGCGGCACGGACGCACCTGACGGCCGGCGTACACACGCGCGCGCGCACCTGATGGGCAGCATGCCGAGGTCGAGGATGTGGAAGAGCTCCGACACGCGGTCCGCCATGCCCTCGCGCACCTCGCGGCCCAGCAGGCAGCGGCTGGCCGTGAGGATGATGAGGCGCGCCATGGCGTCCTTGAGGTCCACCTCGCCGGAGTCGCCCCATTGCGAGAAGAAGTCCTGCACGGCGCCACACACGCGCACAGGCCGGGAAGAAAGGGGGCGGGGGCCGGGGGGAGGTGGGGGGGAGGAGAGGGATAGTCGGGGGAAGGGGAGGTGGGGGGATGGTGAGGGGACGAGGTTGGAGAGAGTGAGAGGAGGGTGTAGGGGCAGACAGAGGAGTGAGGATGTGAGTACGAGTAACGATCGGAATGCACGCAACGGAGTGGTGGGCTTCAGCGGCGGCGGGAGACTCGGGCTCGCAACGACGATCAGCGACGAACGACAGGCGACAGCACGGCAGGATCGTGATCCGGGAAAAGCGTGGTCATTTACGATCAAATGCGAGACCAGGAGGGCAGAAGGGAAGATCAGATCTTGCGAAGCAGGAACACAGTCGGCAACTTAGACTCCCACACGAGACCCACACTCCAAACCTGGATCCCTCCACCGAAGCACGAGTATCACACATCGATCGAGCTCACTCACTGCGTCCCACCCCCTTAACACCCCCCCCCCCCCCCTCCTCCTCCGACCCCCCTCATCATTACTCGCATCCTTATCCCCGCGTGCTGATCGGTCTCACCTGCGCCTCCTCCACCATCATATCGACGTAGGTGCGCAGGCGCGTGACTTTAAGCGAGTCGGCGAAGAAGCGGAACTGCTCCATGCGGATCGGGTAGTCCACGTCGAACACCACCCCCGGGCCGAACGTGGGCACGTTGTACTTGTACACCTCGCGCTGACTCAGCTGGTCCTCCGACGCCTTGTAGAAGTGCGTCGTCGCCTCGGGCCCGATCAGGAACGTCATGCGCATGTGCAGCACGTTCACCGTGAACACGCTGCCGTATTTCGCGTACGCGTCCTTGATCAGCGGGATCGGGCCCTTCATGAATTTTAGCAGCCCGCCGATCAGCGGGAGGGACGGCACGACGGGGGGTTGCTTGCCGCCACCGCCGCTGCGGAACCATCGCGCGACAAGGACGGCGAGGATCGCGGCGATTAGGAGGGTGGGAGCGAGGGATTTGAGGAGGGTGAGCGGGGCGGAGGATTCTAGGAGGGAGGCGCTGGCGGTAGCATTGCCAGTGCCCGCGTCCATGGCTGCCGGCTGCTGCGGCTGGGCAGCGAGAATCTGAGCAGCACGCAGCACGCGGATCAGGCGACGCAAGAAGACTCAGCTGCACAAGAAGAGGGGAGAGGGATAGTTTGAATGACCTCGACTAGCGGCTTCCAGAAGCACAACGGGTCAAGGACTGCTGCTGTGGGGGACATCGGCGTGGCTTGTTCGCGGCTGTGCTGCATGGCATCAGCCCTTCTTATAGCGCGTACAAATGCTCTGTGGGCTACGCTGGGGTTTCCTGGTTTCCTGTGTGGTGCTGAGAGTTACCGTGAGGTTGTTCGCTTGAAACCATACCGGGACCACACAAATTGAACACCCCATAATTGTGTAAGCTGGGCGGGTACGTGGAGGGAATGTGCGGCCAACGTCATTTGTCCAATTTCCCCCACCAATCATCACAAGAATTACCGTTCCCAGGCCAATCGACCTTCGTCGAGCTGGCAGTGCGACAATCG